AAGAGCTGTGTGGTACAGCACAACAGTAAACAAAGCGGTTGAGATGGATGGAGACGAAGCCATACATTCTGTGTTGGCAACGATTCCTGAGATCAAGGATTTAAAGTCGGAATAAAGAGAATGTTTGGTGAATTTTATCAAGGGAAAGATGTTATTGCCTTTTTTCCTATGGGATTTGGGAAAAGCTGAATATAACAGTTAGCCCCATTTACGGCACATTACATACGTCACAACCAAATAGCAGCGAATGGTTAAATAAAAAAAAGTACCTGCCTACTGTTGAGCAAACAAATCCTAATGTTGCGAGGTCAGAGGCTTTACACACAGTAAGGTGGCTGATCAGGCTAGGAAAACTTCACCATTGCATTAATCCTTTATTTCTAAAGGAAAAAAAAACAACAAAAAACTATTTGTAGTTTGATTCCAGTATTATTATGGTATTATATTGCAAGGTGATCCAAGTGCCTGGGTTGAGGTCTGCAATTTCTTATGGTGTCTAGTATTTTTCTTCATTTTGTTATCGGTTTCTCTCCTTAAGTATATCAGGAATTGCCACATTGACCACTGCTTTTATGCCAGATGTCCTTCCTGCCTTAACCAACCACATTAAAGGCCATATATCACACAAAACAGACTCTTTTGAGCTTTAAACCATGTTAGAATGTTGTTACCTCTTCAAAAACATACCTAGTCTTGTGTTATGTTTCATTCACACATGTTTGAGTAATACTGCATTATCGTGCTGTCTGCATCTCCCAAGCTCAAAATGCTCTGTTTCACCTTGTGATGTCATGTAGTGACAGCTTCCAAGTTACCAGCTTCATTTTATCTTTAGTTCAGTAGAGACTGCCAATTCCAGGGGGCTAAAATCATCCAAATGATTCAAGTGAAGGTGTGTGGAGTTTAAAAACACAGTGAAGCACTACATGACATCACAAGGTGGTTCCTGTTTGAGAGAAGAGCTCAGCCTAAATATACAATTTGTGTGTTAAACATGTGTGAATGAAATAAAACACGATTCCAGGTCTGTTTGTGATGAGGAAACTACATTATAACATACCAGAAATGACATAATATGGGCTCTTTAAAAAGGTTTTTGGCTTCTCGCTTATATACAGAAATTGACACGTTAACCCCGACTTTTGCACCAGATGCCCTTCCTGCCTTAACCAACCACATTAACTTGACCGTGTAGTGAAACATAAAAATATGTTTGAACCAACCACCTTTTGGTCATAGAGTTTGTGCTTGCTTACTTACTTCTCCAGGACAAACAGTATCACACAACATTAGCATACTAGCACACACACGCACAAATACACACAGAGTCTTTAGCAGTGGGTAACTTCTTGTCAAGGTTAGTTTGAGCTGAGGAGGATTGATTATGGGCGGGCAGGAGTCTGGTTCTCCCTGTGGAGCCGCCATGTCTCTGTCAGGGGTAGCACTGTGCCCCGCTGGCAGCATCCATTTTCTCTCCGCTGGGGTGCCACTGTCTTTTGAAGGTTTAAACAGATGCAGGAAATATTGATAATGTACGACAATGTTAGAAATAGCAATGGCCTTTTGGAACAATTGGTACAACATTGGCACAAAATATCCATCTGTGTATGAAATTTAGAAGTGTTTATTTTGTCAGAAGAGTAATTCAGATTTAAAGGTCCTGTATTATGCAAAATTGACTCTTGTGAGCTTCAAGATGTGTTATAATGAAAAAACAGGAGTTGTGTTTTGTTTCATTCATACTTTTGAGTAATCCTTTATTATTAGTCTGCTTACATCTCCAAAACTCATGTCATAATTTCATAGTTTTTAAGTTAAATGGTCACATTTTTCTATAGCGTTTTTCCACCTTCAAGGCACTCAAAGCGCTTTACAACAAGGAACCACTCACCCATTCACACACACATTCACACACCAGTGTACGCAGACACTAGGGGCAAGGTGGGTTAAGTGTCTTGCCCAAGGACACAACGGCAGCATTCATCTGTGGGAGCTGGAATCACACCAGCCAACCTGTGGATCTGACCGCTCAACCTGTGATGTTTTTTTTTTTTTTTTTTTTTTTTATGTTGAGAGCTGGAATCGAACCGCCAACCTTCAGATCAGTGGGCGAATGCTCTACCAACTGAGATACTGCCGCCCAGTTAACAGCTACGGTTTACCTTTTGTTTAGTAGACTTGGGCAATTCCAGGGCTGAAATGATCCAAATGGTTCTAGTGAAAGTGTATGGACATTAAAAACACAGTGGAGTATTTCTTGTGCTATTACATTACAAGGTGGAACAGAGTCAGGTTTGGAGCATTCCGTGGTGTAGCCTGTGGCCTACGCACTTTTTTGGGGGCCCCATTGCAGCCCCCCTCCCGTGGTCTTCACTTTTTTTGGGAAAATAACTCAGAAAGAAGAAGGGCTCAGCCTAAATCTGCAGGGTTCATGTGTGAATGAAGCAAAACACAACTCCAGGTTTGTTTTTGATAAGGAAAAAACATTATAATGAAAAATAACATGAACCTAGACCTATCTCATATAACATAAACCAGGAGTCTCCAACCTGTAGCTTGAGACCCACCATTAGCTCTCCACACCCCTCCAAGAGGCCACCAGCGCCATCATTGTCTGGGAAAGATGTCCTTTTACCATGTAGACAGAACCATGATGACATGTTCTATAAAATGTTTATGGAATCAGTTTTAACGTTTTCATTAGTCTCCTGGTTTGGGAGCATTTCTGCTAAAAACAAGAACTCCCTGAATCAGTTGGTTAAATGGGCGAGTGAGGTGATTGTCCATCCTCAGAGGAGCCTGGACTCTCTGTACTCAAGACAGTTACAGAGGATGTCCCAGAGGATTTTAAAAAACATGCAACATCCACTAAATTGAGAGTTTCAGGTGCTTCCCTCTGGTCAGAGGCTTTTAGTCCCAAGATCTAGGACAAATTTTTTAAAAGGAGCTTTGTTCCGGCTGCTATCATACTTATGAATAAATTGTAATCTTTTTATCTAAAAATTTTGTGTTTTCTAATATATTTAATATTTATTATGATTTTAGCCAAGCGTGATGGATGAATTTAACAAATTGTTTATGGAACAAACCATTCTGCACTGGAGCACAGTAACACTTGTAATTGTGTTTTTATATATATAAAAACACAATACATACAATATATATGTGTATTGTACATATAATAATGTGGATGAATGAAATGTGAAATGTGGGACCTGCCTCTTGAATCTGCAAAACAAATTTAACCTACGGGTAAGAATGAAACAATCTAACCTAACCTAACCTAAGTAGCTCGACAAGAGATTTCTGAATTACACTTACATGTACACATTGTGCTCAATAAGTAAAATTTGATGTATTAAATGCCTTTTACCCTTGTACATGTATCATTTTGATGCCTTACTTTGTACACTGATAAATGGATAATGGTTTATGTTATAGGCATCTAACTGTACCTCATCTAAGACATGCTGTGGCTCTTATGCTCAATTTCTTGTGACCGCTAAAACTAGTAGCTCTCTGGCATTTTTGTTTTGTAAAAGTAGCTCACAGGAGGAAAAAGGTTGGAGACCCCTGACATAAACAGTGTGGTGCTTTTTACTGTTACCACCAGGGAAGTTTATCTGGGTTGCAAAGTGCTAAACCAATCTTCATACAGCTGTACTGTGTTACTTTTGTGGTACATGGTCTGCCACTTGTTTGCTTGTTCCACAGTATGGCATTACACCTAGTATCACCGCGGAGACAAGCAAGTGACACCACTAGGCCAAATTACGATACCTGTAAGAATGCATGTTTTTGGAGATATGTTAGCGATAAAAACACCTGCAGTTGAATAAATGCAAGACTGAATGGGTGACAGTAGCTCAGTTGGTAAAGTGTCCACTGATCTGAAGGTTGATAGTTCAAATTCCACATCGACATAGACATCATTGGTTGAGCTGTCAGATCTGCTGGCCCACAGGTTGGCGATGCGATTCATACCTAACCTGTGTACTCTGGTGTATGAATGTGCCTGAATGGGTGAGTGGTTTCTTGATGTAAAGTGCTTCGAGTGACTTGAAGGTGAAAAAGTGCTATATAAAGCAAGATAGTTTAATGCCATACTGTGGAATATCCCAAAACATTAACACATCTGTTAACACTTGCATCATTAAGAAAATTGCCAATATGATTTATACCTCGATACATTAGACACGATACGCTTTTCGATACAGTGAGCTTTCGATTCAATACGATTCGGTACAGTGAAATACAAAGGCTGTAATACAAGAAGTCTACTAAGTCCACTAAGTTTGCGCAAAGTTAATATGAAAAACTATCCTGATTCAGCAGTCTGACCTCGCAGCATTAGAATTCGTTTGCTCCGGTACTTCATTCGCTCAGGTACTAAGCAGGTACTTTTTTTATTTAACCAAACGCTGCTATTTGGTTGTGACGTATGTAATGCGCCGCTAACGGGGCTAACTGGTATATTAATCTTTTCCCAAATTCCATAGGAAGAGGGGCAATAACGTCTTTTCCGTTGATAAACTTCACGAAAAATTCTCTTTGGATCTCGGGAATCGTTGCCAACACAGAATGCATGGCTCTTCACTGATTGGCTGTTCCCTGAACTTGCACTTCCGGGGTTCTTGCAAACCGTCTAGTGTATATTTACTGAAAACAGTGAAAATGTCAACACAATTGTGCGCTTACTCAAATTAATTTAGTAAAATATACCTAAAATACTCTTGATAATATATTGATACAACAGCCCACGATATCAATACTGTATCAGCACATTAAATTAAACAATATATTGATATTTTGATATTTTTGCACACCCCTACTTGGAGGCAGTGAACCCCTCAACAGAAAAGTTCCATAATGTATCTTTAAACATGTGTAAATGAACCAAAATACTAGCATCATGTGTCTCTTTGCAGGTTTTTAAATGGGAAAAATGAATCTCCAAGCTACAGGCTAACTCCCCTGTCCTCTGTGTGTATTCTGCGCAGGTTGCTGAGATGCACGGCGAGCTCATAGAGTTTAATGAACGCCTGTACCGCTCCCTCATGGCCAAGGACCATCTTATTGTCCAGATGAGACAGGAACTCATTGACCTACGTGGACCGGTAAGACACAATAAAACTAAAATACACACACACACGCACACACGCACAATCCAATCTACTTTCATTTTATCTCACTTCTCCTTCAATGGCCTCTTTGCAAATTTAATTAACAGTGACTACCGACATTAGAGATTAAGTAGAATTCTTTGGACTGTATGTGTTTTTTGATTTTTTGGATTATTATTTTTTCCAAGTGAGAGAATCTTGAGACATTCAGTTCACTTACATTTATATCAGAATAAAATGGATTTCTAAAAAAAGCATGTAAAGAAAGGACTTTGATTGGCGGTGTCGAGATTCAAATCTTTCAAATTGCGTAAACACTTTTGGAGAACTGTGTACGTGCTTGGACAAATGTTGTTAGGAGAGGCTTTCAACTGCAGGTACTACTACTTACTACTGGATAAGAAACTACCTGGCAGATATTAGACACGTGTTTGGACGATGTGTACTCACCCATTTTAGATCAGAACAAGGACGCAAATTCTGGTCCCTTCACTGTGGGATAGTGTGATTTTTATCTGATATTAAAAGAGAAAATTTAAAACTACCAGAGCATTCAATAAGTTTATCTGAGCTGTGAAAAAGGTTAGTTTAGTGTATTTGTTTTTTTATTATCGGGGAAAATGCACATAAAAAACATTCACCCACCCAAACAGATAATATGTTATATAGCAAGATTGCGAATTTCCGATTATAGCTACAAAGTTTAAGTACTATTGCTAACTTGCCAGATGCCTTTCTATTTGACTTTGGGCTATTTACATAAAGCACAGACAGTTTGACAGGCATTTTAGCATATTCATGGGTTTCAGCTGTCTGATTTATACAGTGTTTGATGATATTTGTTTAAAATTGTTAATTGTCAAGCAAAAGACCTAATTCTGAAAAACATGGACATGCAGCATCATTTTTCTTTTAAAATTAGACTCATTGAAGACACAAAAGCCTTATTTATTAGCCATTACAGCTACAAAGTTTTAAGTGCTATTGCTAACTTGCTTAATGCCCCTGAACATCTCTTAGCTCCCTGCTAGCAACGATTTGACTTCCGGGTATTTACAGAAAGCACGGACAGTTACTGCAGTTGAGTCTGACAGGCATTTAGCATATTCATAGGTTTCACCTGCTTGTTATATACAATATTTTTTCCTGTTTCCAAAGATATATGACCTATTTGGTTTTAAATTGTTAATAATTTTTACTTATTTTGATGGATACGCAACATAATTTCCCTTTAAAGGTCCTATATTACACAAAACTGACTCGTGAGAGCTTTTAGCCATGTTATAATGTTGTTACTTTTGTGGAGTTGTGTTTTTTTTTCATTCACACATGTTAACCTTTTATTATTTCCTCTATTCCACCTTGTGATGTCATGTAGTGGTAGTTTTCAAGTTAACAGCTCCTTTCACCTTTAGTTCAGTAGAGACTGGCAGGTCCAAGGCTAAAATCATCCAAATGATTCTAGTGAAGGTCTGTGGAGTTTAAAGGGACAGTTCGGAGTTTTGGACATACAACCTTATTTCCTAGTGAGCCAGAGTGTTGCAAACGTGTGGAGACACTTTTTGTTTAAAATTCCATTCTGTCCTTGTATTTGCAGAGGTCACTGGTGCTAGGCTAGCACATGTCATTGGCCATAGTTAGCCTGTCACTAAAAACAGTCTTACCAACTCCACAAAGCACCTGAAGAAAATCTGTTATACGCCAGACTGTTAATGTGAATGTCTGTGTTGATAGAATAATATTTGAAATAAAACTAACCTTGCATCGCATGAATCACCACATGTTGAAAGACTATTTTCTCATATATCAGTCCGCCGCTGCCAAACTTTCTATCAGGAAGTACAACTCGCTGCTACTGCTCAGACATAAATCCTTCAAATGCAAGGTTAGTTTTACTTCTAAAATGTTTCTGTCGACACAGACATTAACATCGACAGTCTGGCGTTATAAATGTTTTACCTCTGGTGTTTTGTGGAGTGGGTAAGCCTGTTTTTAGTGACAGGATAACTCTAGCCATTGACATGCTCTAGCCTAGCACCAGTGACCTCTGCAAACACAAGGACTGGATGGAATATTTAAAACAGTGTCTCCACACGTCTCCAAAACTCTTGGCTCACTAGGAAATGAGGCCCTACGCCCAACATTCTGAACTGTCCCTTTAAAAACACAGTGGAACACTTCCTGTATTGCCACATGACATCACAAGGTGTTTTCTGTTTGAGAGAAAAACTCATCCTGAATATGTAGGATTTGTGCGTTAAAACATGTATGAATGAAACAAAACACAACTCCAGGTATGTTTGTGATGACGAACCAACATTATAACAGATCAGAAAATATCATAATATAGGCACTTTAAGAACAAGAAGAAGCTTGTTTACATTTAGTTTATATTTATTTTATAATGCCTTGATGATTCACAGTTTTTAATCTGGTTCTTAATGCGCACTTAAACAGGAAATAAAGATCTGTTCTGTTCTATACTGTGACTGTAATAAATAGATTCATGAATGTATGCCAACGCTAAAGACATTCTCTGTTTATTTATCAAGATACTTCCGTGACTATTTCTCACAAATTAACTAATCTGTACACGCATTAATCCCTCATGAAGGATTAACACTGTTGATATGCTTTTGATTACACAACACAACCATGATTCATACTATCTTAGACTGTGGACATGCAAATTGTCTCATGTCTAAAGTACAAAACTCAATAAATGATTATGCAGTCCCACTTGTAGTCCACATGCAACTCGGTTATGTAGAACACTTGTTATCATGTTTCAACAGCAGAAAAGATAGGAAGTTAATGATTTGAATGACTAATCGTCCCCTAACAATTATAAGGTTCTATCTGCCATCTGGGTAGTTGTGAGATTTTGAGATTTAAAGGTGCATTGTGTAACTTTTCTGGTGGAGTGTCTGTCAAATGCTTTTCTCCATGGAAATGTCATTGCTCTGCCACAGTATGACAAGCAGCTCTACCTTACATTTATTAAATTACGGGTGGTTTTATAGGTCAAAAATGCCTAGAAAAACAGGCATTCCAACTGTGAGCAGGGTCGCATCTCCGCCATTTGACCTGTAACTTGGTCTGGTCTCCATAATGATAGAAAGGTTTAATAATAGGTTTAATACTGTAAAACATTCCAGACAAAGCAATAACATCTCCATGGCGAAAAGCAGTTGACGGATTCTCCACCAGAAAAGTTACACAATGCACCTTTAAATTTCTGACCACTCAGAGCATGACAGAATCTGGAAATGGGGTTGTACGCTTATAAACCTAAAGAATTTACAGAATCTTAATACATGTGTACAGAAGATATTACGGAACAAGAATATGTGAATAACAAATATATAATGTCAGATAAAACCATATAATTCAAAGGAGATGTAGTATTCTTTCAACCAGAAGTTATTAGAATCAAAATAAATTCAACTGATCTGACTACGGCCCCGTCCACATTAGTACGTATTCGAGTCGTTTTCATTGCGGATGCAGTGTTCGTCCACACTAATCCGATTGAAAACGGCTTCAGAGACGGATTTGGTGTCGCCAGCTCCCACAAATTCATCTGAGTACAGATCTGATCCGGCACCGTGTTGATGCCTGAAAACACTGATATGCTGATGTAGGTCTATGCGCTGCAAAGTAGCTACCGCCAAAACACTAAGAGGTTAGCATACATTCATATATACGGTCTATGTGTACGACCTGCAGACATATAATCTCCGAAAAGTTTCACATGAATCATCTTCAATGCGATAGAAGCACAGAACAGACTCACCATCAGCAGAACACCCCTCTGTCACAGAAAGAACACCATATTCCACTGAGTCGTGTCCTTTAGTCCAACAGAAGCTGAACTGCATCAGCTCACAATAGAGAGCTGTTTATGCAAATTAGCCATGCGATTTTAAGTTGTGTTTCTGTAAAACGTAAACAAATATGTTCAAAGCTGTGTGGATAGGGAAGGATTGTGGACACAGAAACGATGTGTGTAGACACAGATTGTTTCCGATATGGTGATATGCGGATTTGTTTAAGTGTAAACGGAGTCTACACAAGAAATAAGGGCTCCAAGATTAATTACAATTTAATCGAACACGCAATTTGAATAGACTTCAATTAGCAAATCACAAATACCACAGCATATCTGTCTTTATCAGTATAAAGGCCTCTAACCGTGTGGTTTAGATCTGGACAAACATGTGATTGTTGTATTAGTTTGTCTGTTGATATTTTTTGTCTTTTTGTTCAAATCTACACTTTGAACAGAGGTCTATTCCTAAAATATAAATTGCAAATCTAATCAAGTGACTTTATCTGACAAAGGTTCTAAACAGCTTGCATTCCCACCCTTACTCACTACAAATTGATTAATATAAATTGAAGTATATTTGCACCACAAATTACCTCTTACGGCTGCAGTTTCACGCCAGGGGTTTATGCGTGTCTATGGCAGAATTTTCAGCAGTTATTATGGTGACACAATGTATACATTAGCCAACACAGGCAAAAAAAAAAAAAAAGTCTACAAACCAAGAAAAATACAAAATGGAAACAATATAAATGTGTGGAGCCTGTGATCAGTACAGTACGAGCGTTCATGGTCTTGTTTAGGTGTTTGATTTTCAACAACTAAAAACTGTTTAGGTTTCTTGTTGTGTTATTTCAGAGAGACTTGTTTAACAGTACAACATTAGCTCACCTTGGTCAAATTGTGTTAAAACAAAGCTCAGGTTGAAGTCCAACTTGAGTAACAGAGCTTCAGACAGAGCAGTGCCTATTGTTAGCTTCACGCCCCAGGGAACGTTGACGACATCAGCTGCAAAGTATCGATATAACAAACTTTCCACAATGACAACAAACAGAACTGCTGGTCATGGTGTGGTTAGCTTTGGGCAGTTTGGTCTCTCCCTCTCACACACACACACACACACACACACACTCACACACACTCACACTCACACACACACACTTTTCTGTGATGGAGCTCTAGGCCTGTGAGATAGCCCTCTTATCCCTGTGCTCCAGCCCTGTTCCACTGGACCACTCTCCTCGCCTGGGCCCATCCACCACAAATGACCTCTTACAGCTGCAGTTTCCGACAAGATGACCCACTGTCTCCACTTCTCTTTTATTGTTCATTTGTTCTCTCTATTTATGACTTGCCATTGCGTTTTCAGCGATTTTTGTCCACCTCGACCTGACATGTCCCTCCTTGAGAGAATTGTAATTGAAATTTGATGGGCTAGCTTGCATAGGCATTAGAAAGGCATTAACGTTAAAGGGCCGACGTCGTCAATGTTACAACTTGGACTGACTCCCATTAACACTGTAGTCCAGATACTTAGAATGTAATCTTTTTGATGTGATAGAGAATATAGTCCGACATGTTCAATAGTGTAATACACTTCATGCAATACTGTGATTTAGCTCTATTTAGTTCATAGTTCAAAAGCAGATTCAAAGGCCCATATACAGCACAAAACCATGTTAGAATGTTGTTATCTTATCAAAAACATATCCGGACTTCTGTTTTGTTTATTTGTAATGTCATGTAGTGGTAGTTAACAGCTACCTTTTTCTTTTTGTTTAGTAGTGATTGGCAGTTCCAGGGCTGAATTCATCCAAATGATTCCAGTGAAGGTGTGTGGAGTTTAAAAATACAGTTTAGCACTTCTGTATTACCACATGACATCACAAGGTGGAGGTGGGCTATCTCTTTGGAGACAAGCAAGTACAGTCCCTGCATAGTAATTAAGCATATTTTTGAGCAATAAAATGCAAGATAGATCAGTTTAATGGCATAATGTGGAACATTCAGTGGAACAGGCAAAGTAATAACTTAGTTCTCAGGTTGGCAAGATGGCGTCAGTGTGGTTGGTGTGCTGCTTGGCTCTTCAGTCATTGTTATGTATTTTATTCATTTCAACTGTCATGAGGACCATAGATTTTGGGACTTTTGTGGACTCACATATGGAATATGGTCACGGGGGATCTAAAACTTTCTCTGATCCACTTCTGTGTGACGTGCTATCATTCCTACTGTGCCTTGAGGCCACACCTCCACAGAAATTATGAGGCTAAAGACCTGGCTAATTTTTCTTCCGGACCCTGATCGTCTCTCCAGCTGCTTAATCCAAGGTTATGAGCCATGTTTGAGACACCTGCTCCTCCGGCGCTCCCTGTTACCTGTCGGCACCTGCCTAGTCCCCATTGCTGGGCAGTTTGGAGACCATCGGACACATCGTCACTTGCTATGCCACCGAACTACGGGCACTGGAGTGCACCTCAAGACTCTAAGACACAAAACCAGTGGAGATAAATCCTGACTGGTGTGCGCTGGTGAACAAGAGGTCCATTGGAAATAAAACTTTGATTCTCCGTAGCTTCTTCGTATCACAAGTAGTGGATATTATGTTCATAATGAAGACGTAGGTGAGTCAGTTGTTTTCACTGAACTCCTGCCTGCAGACTGTAGTTTCTTGAATGTCCCGAGAACCAGTGATCGTGGAGGTGGTGTAACCGTTGTTTTTAAGGATAATTTGGACATAAAACTGGTGTCTGGTGCTGGCTATTCCTCTTTTGAACTGTGCGCATTTTAGCTTGGATGCTTTGGTCAGTTCCTTTATGCAGTTGTCTGTCGGCCACCCAAGTACAACTTCTTGTGGCCAATGTCACAGTGAAGTACGATAAAGTACTCATTGTAGGAGATTTTAATAAGCACATTTGCTGTCTGTGCAAAACCTTGACCAAAGACTTTTTAGATTTTATTGATTCTTTTATTTTGACACACCCACTCAAAGCGTGGACACACTCTTGATTTGGTTTTATCTCATGGCTTTATTGTTGATAACCTTGAAATTGGTAATGCAGTGTTCTCTGATCAGTCTTGTTGTGTTTGATTTTATGATTTCTTTTAATAAGCCGTGCACTCCTTTGCGCTTTAGCCTCATGTTAAAGCCTTCCTCAGCCTTCCTCAGTGTGTTCTACTGTATTCGACTCTGCTGCTTCTCTTAAAGCCATGTGTCCTAAATGTCAGGGAGAACCGTGGCTGAATGACACCAGAGCAGCTAGAGAAGAGTGCAGGCACGCAGAAAGAAAATGGAGAAAGGATAGACTTGTAGCCTAAAGATATTCTCAAACACCAGCGGAGAAGCTATCAAAAAAACTGTGAAGAATGAACAGGCAAAATATTTTTCTGATATAATTTCTAAAAATGTGCACAGACCTCGGGTACTTTTTAAAACTATAGCTACTATTTTAAACCCCCTCCAATCTACTTCTTTTGAGACTTCTCCTAGTGTTTGTGAAGATTTTCTGGCATTTTTAAAGATAAAGTTGACTCTATTAGGGCAAATATTAATGTGTGTTTTAAGTTCATTGACTTATTTTGCACATTTTGAGACTGTCTAATTTCTAGAGCTCTCAAAAACTGTTGGGCAGTTAAAGGTTTCATTATGTAACACTGACAGCATTCTGATATGCCTTTTTAAAGATGTCTGTGAAAATATTGGGCCTATTTTGGTCATTGTGAACAGCAGCTTCACTTCTAGTGTAGTGCCTGCGTTCTGTAAGCAGGCAGTTGTTGAGCCTCTTCTGAAAAAGCTAAGTTTAGATGAGCTGAATTCTAATTCAATCTTCTATTTCAAAGCTTCCATTTATGTCAAAGATTTTACAAAAAACATAGAAACATAATATCATGGATGTTTTTCGGTCACAAGGTTACAAGTAATTTCATAGCACAGAGACTGCACATTTAAAGGTTTTTAATGATTTGTTTTTATTTACTGATGCTGGAAATGCAGCTGTTCTTTTGCTTTTAGACCTTACGGCTGCTTTCCTTACAGTGGACCACACTATTCTCTTATCTCACATGGAGCACTGTGTTTGTGTCAGTGAAATGCCACTGGAGTGGTTCAGGTCCTATCTGGCAGACAGGACCTTTACTGTCCAGTTTGGGGACTCCTTCTCCTCTCAGGACCCCATTTTTGGACCTCCTGCTGTTGAGTCAAATTTAAAAAAAAAACATGGAATATCATATCACTTCTATGCTGACGATTCCAAAATCTATTTGCTGAAATGTCTAGATGACGTCAAGGCTTGATCGGCTACGAATTTTTAAATCTGAATGAGTCCAAAACGGAAACTGTTGTTTTTAAACCAAGTATGTCTACTTATTTTCTGTTTGACATGGGCTCTTTTCAACAATATAGTAAACCTGCAGCTACCAACCTTGGCGTCATCATTAATGAAGATTTTAAGTTTGACAAGTGGATAAATGCCGTGATTAAATCCAGTTTTTATCACCTGAGGCTTTTATCCAGCCTCAAATCAGTTTTATCTTTTAGTGATTTGGAGCGGGTGATCCATGCTTTTATTTTTACATGTCTTGACTACTGTAACGCCCTGTACACTGGTATCAGCCAGTAAAACCTGGCACACTTCATGGACTGGCCCCAATGTACATTTCAGACCACATTGTCCCCTGGCCCCCTGTGGGCTCAGAGATCTGAGGGCCAACTCCAACTTATCATCCCAAAAATGGGACTCAAAAGCCGGGGTGGCTGGGCCTTTTCTGTGGTTGGCCTAGGCCTGTAATGATAATCAATAAATCAGTGAATCGTACGATAACTTTTAACAAGCTCAATAACTTTTCCGGCCGCGATAAATTCTGTTTGCATGCTTGTTTGTTTTCCTCACTCTCTCTCGCTCTCAAAGAGGGTGAATGTTAGAAAGCTTCTATGGCTCTCTGACTCCTCTCGTTTAACAAGCATAATGACGCTCGAACCAACGTACACTGTGTTTATCAACACAGCAGAATTAAATTTCTGCATTAAAGGGTTTATTTTACCATTATTGTGCTACTCTTGACAATTTCATTATGTCTTCTCAGCTTCCAGGAGATCTGAGCCAGACGTCGGATGACCCCAGCCTGTCTGATTTTGAAACGTAAGTCTTGTCCTTGTAACATTATCATTTACTCAGTTACATTTACTCAAGTAACTTTTTAAAGAACTTTTCAGAGTACCTTTTTAGCTGCATACATTTTACTCCTATTTGAGTAGTATTGTTTATTGAAGTAACACTCTTACTTGATTAAAAATAAAAGTTTTAGTTACAAGTTATAAAAACTTTGTATATTTGTGTTTCTTGCCCCCACTCAGGTTTAGTTTGTCTCATTTTTGTGTATATCCTTCGAAAATATCAGAGAAATATTCATGTTCTGTAGTGGTTGTTTTTGCTTATTTTGGTGTATCTTTGCCTTTAGTGTTGTGTGTCCTTTTACTTTGATATTTTCCTGTCTACTTGTAGTTTTGAGTTTTGCTTCCTGTCTTGATTGTTTGCCCTGCCCTGATGTTTTTCACCTGTGTCTGGGTGCATTTATACTTTGTGTTCTCCTCTGCCCTTTGGTGGTCCATCGTATTTGCCATTGTCTGTGTCTTTGTCAGTGTCTTGTCCTTTCGTGGCAGTTTAGTTTCAATTGTTGCATTTTGGGGATTTATGGATTTTTAATTTTATTAATTTTTTTATTAAATGACTTGAAAGCAGTCCTGCATTTTGGGTTCTCTCTTTGTTTCCTTGTGACAAGTACATTAATTTCCAATAATAAATCAGATGTTACGCCCAAACAATTACTCTTTGTTACTCTACTCTGAGTAGTAGTTTTCCCAAATACCTTTCTTGCTCTTATTTAAGTAATTTCTCAGAGCACTACTTTGTACTCCTACTTGAGTACCATATTTTCCGCACTATAGGGTGCTCTAGATTATAAGGCGCACTGTCATTGAATGGTCTATTTTCAAACTTTTTTCACATATAAACTGCACCGGACTATAAGGCGCATTAAACGAAACACAACAGTTAGATAAGTCAGTCAAACTTTATTTAATGCTTCCACAATAACTCTCAACTTTGTTCAATTGTAACGAGTAAAAAAAATATTGTCCGAGACCGCTAAATTGTTAGTGTATTCACAATAACTCATAATTGTTCAAACAGTTGGGCGATTATGGCGTCCAACACGCCCGCATCCCTCTCGTCATTATCCGAGTCAGTGTGGTTACTGTTACCTGGCAGTTCAGTGATGATTCGGGTCTTGGTGAAAGCTCGGACCACAGTTGATACTGATCCTTAGCCCAGGCGTCCACGATCCGTTGGCAGATCATGGCATAAGTCGCTAGGCGCTGTCTCCCTGTCTTGGTGAATGTGTGTTCGTCTTCTCTCATTCACTGCTCCCACGCAGCTCGCACTTTCACTTTATAATAGCCTTAAGTTTAAAGTTGGTGTTGTAAGTGTGTCTCTTGACAGGTGCAGTTTGATATTAAAAAGAATCACAGTATGTATTACTCCGCGATGCTCCTGTCTATGGAGCCGTAATGCTACAATTGGTGCGGCTTTGTAGTTTCCTAAAGTCGTACGAAGACAACCAAATAAATTAATATATAAGAAGCTCTGAATTATAAGGCGTGCAGTTGTTTTTTTATGAAATTAAAGGTTTTTAAGTGCGCCCTATAGTGCGGAAAATACGGTAATATTATTTTTGAAGTAACATTTTTGGTTTGTCTACCCACCTCTGATTATATTCATTCATTTCTTAATTTAATTTGATGTCAAAATGACATATTCTCAAAGCAATCTGCTTTTATTACACATATTACTTCAGTTGTTTAGCTCCTTAAAATGTGTGGTGTAATTTTCCATGGACTCTTAAGTGCATTTAGATGACAGTAGGCCTATAGCGTTTATGCTGCTGCAATGTTAATGTTTATCTAACGTAGATTTGTTGTGTTTCAGTGCCCACCGTGCCCTCATCAACGTGTGGATACCGTCAGTGTTCCTTCAGGGTCGTGCTGCTAACGCCTACCACGTCTATCAGGTATGCTCGCTGGCTAAAGGCAGAAACATACAATTACAGCTAGCACATATATGTACATGGAAACTACACTCTACAACAGTGGCGGCTGCTGATGTAAACACTAGGGGAAAACAGGTTATTATCAATATGTTTGAGACATACTTTTGGATATACTATCATTTTGACTCCTAAAGATTGAATGAGTCCTTTTAGATCAACAGAACCGGATCAGAGGTAAGACGTGCATGTTTTTCGTTTTGTTTCCTTTGGGATTAACACTCAAGCATTGCATTTGAACATAATATGAACTCAGCGTTTGTTTTATAGAAAATCACACTTTTCAACAACGTATAGCACCGCTGTATTTACCAATAAATAGCTGGGTAACTTACGTATTTGCTGATTTTCTCCCTGGATTGTTCATCTGGAGTTTTGTGGGTGAATGGGTCTCTACCAGCAGACGTGAGGACCTCATTGGTCACATTTCTCTCATAGACTTTGAATGGAGCCGATGGGCTCTTTTCAGCTTCAGAATCTGTGTCTCTTTGGACTTTTTCTTTTCTTTTATTATTACTTAATTTAGAAGATTAAGAGTGAGAACATGATTTAAATTTTCATATGTTTGTATGGAAATTTGACAATAAATTTTTTTGAATTTGAATCAGATTGCCCCAGGCAGCTCAGTCGCATACTCTGAAATTCAATCCAGCTACCCTCAAATGATGTCTTTTCAGCCCCCTGATATCAATGAAATAAGTAAACTCCTTCATGAATTAAAACCATCTTCGGCTGGACATGATACCATTTCTGCCTTCCTTGTGAAATAAATCAAACATTACATTTTGAAGCCACTTACACATTATCTGGTTGTCTTTAAACACAGGTGTTGTACCAGAGGATCTGCTCATTCTCCTATTTAAACCTGTTTTAATAACTATATACCCATGTCTCTTTTACCTTGCTTTTCAAAAGTATTAGAAAAAGTTGTTTATTAAAGGTTCTTTTCTCATATAAATAATAATTCAATATGACTTCTCTAAAAATCCCAGCACTTACATGGCTTTAGTTCAATTATTAAATGAAATAACGTTGGCATTAGACAACAATCTGCATACTTGTAGTATTTTTTTGGACTTGTCAAAAGCTTTTGATACAGTCAATCATACTATTTTACTTGCAAAATGAAGTTTTTAAGTGGCTACAGTTTTTAAGTGGCTACCGATTTATATTTGTAATCAATCCCAGTTTGTTTAAATCAATGGTTGCAATTCTGATAGAGCTGATTTATAGTGTGGAGTCTCTCAGGGGTCCATATTAGGTCCTTGATTATTTTTATTGTACATAAATGATTTGTATATATCTCACCGCAGTAATGTTTGCTGATGATGTGACTTTATTCATATCCAATTCAAACTTTAATGTTTCAACAAACCAAACTAATGCTGCATTATCTGCTTATGACAAATGGTTCAAAATGAACAAATTATCTCTTAATATCAAAAAACTAACTCGTGTTTCATCCACCAAATGTCTGGGCGTCATTGTCGATGATAGTCTAAGATGGAAAGAGCACGCTGGCTCTGTGACCAGAAAAAATAATAAATCTCTTGATATTATAAGAAAAGCTCCTGCATTTGTGGACTCAAACTCTATACTTACATTTTACTATAGTTTAACTTATCCCTATCTGTTATATTGTAATATAGTCTAGGCAAGCACTTTCTCAACTACTCTGAACAAAATATTATTGTTGCAAAACTATTTTGTTCTAATTGCAACTCATTCCATGCCACTAACATCATCTGCTAATTTATTCATCAAACTTAACATTTTTTATATTTATGATATTAATACTCAGCACATTTGTATTTTTATATATTAAATTCTTTATAATACAACTAAGATCCCTAAACATTTCACATTTTACTTTAAAACTAATGCAGGGAGTCATAGATACAATACTCGTCAAAATTGTAATTTTTATGTTCCAAAATGTGTTACATCAAGAGCTCGGTTTTGCCTATGATGCAGAGGCTGTAAATTCTGGCACCAGTTTTCACATCTGGTTAGTGATGGCACATCAGAAACATTTAAAAAGAGTTTGGGGAAATGTTTGATATTTGATGATAATGTTTGATAATTATTAAATTATGGGATGTTTGAGTGTATTTTAATCCATGTTTGAATCAGATGTATTTAATCTAAGTTGTGTAAATGTCATTTTTTAGTAATGCAGAAAAATAGTGGTTAGTATTAGATTTTTGATACTTTTGACATTTCTACTATATATTTAAGACAACAAACACTTTAATTGAAAGTATGACTAGCTGTGACTGCGCAACCTCATCAGTATTCATTATGAGTTTTTTTCTCACAAGGTTTGACTGTCTGTTAATCGAACTTTCAACCATTTTAGTCGATTAGTCCATTAAAATTGTGCCATAGCTGTCTCCATCACCTCAGAACGCCAGTACTCCAGACACTATGTAAATAAGGCAGTTAAAGCTAATGGGGCTGTCCTGCGTCGCTGGTAGCCTGACTCTTAACTAAAATCCACAGTTTTTCTGCTTGTGGTCTCTGGCACTTATCTCTCAGAGAGGTGGCCTGGGAAGCGGACTCCGGAGCACCCTTAACCACCTCCATTTCTTGTTTCTGTCAAGTTATCAGGCCAAGCAGACAACGGCGTCCCTTTCCTCGGGTGAGCTGTTTGAGCACACTCGTCACATTAACAAGGTGCTGCTCTCAGGACACCCACCTTTTTTTTACAGCTATTGCCCCATGTCCCTCACACACTCCTGGGTACATCTACAGAGACAGGGTTGGACAAAACAATGCTATGGACAAAGTATAATTTATAAACTACATATCCCTTTTCAATTAGGTATTTAGGCATTTGAGCTCCCTCTGCTGTCAGCAATGGGAATGAACAAATATGAAATTAACAAATGAAGTTCTTAGACAGAGTGAATGCTCTGCTAACCATGCTGCCATGTGATCATTGTGAACATCATTTTCCCATTTTACCACATTTTTACCACAACAAGTCCGGTGAGGGTTTATACCATAGACCAGAGGTTTTCAGTAGGTGAGGCCCGCCAAAGAGCCACATGGGAGGCACGACACACACCAGTGCAGCCGCAGGGTCTTAAAAGTCTTAAGAAGGTCTTAAATTTCATTAGCCTATTTTTTTTTATACTCAGCTGGGCCGTAGTGCAATGTTAAATAGAGGAAGAAACATAAACAACAACATGAAGCTGAAGTTTGCCTATTAAAAGTGCAAACTTGTATGCCATGTCTTCTTGTGCTGCGCCTCTAAACCAGATGTAAAACCAGGACTAAACCAGATGTAAAACCAGGACTAAACCAGAAGTAAAACCAGGACTAAACCAGAAGTAAAACCAGGACTAAACCAGAAGTAAAACTAGGACTAAACTAGAAGTAAAACCAGGACTAAACCAGAAGTAAAACTAGGACTAAACCAGAAGTAAAACCAGCACTAAACCGGGCTCAGCTGTCTTTACCCACTCTAAGAGGATGCTCACATTCACCCATTTTGAAAACCCCTGCCATAGACTGTATAAAGAAGTGGACTAAGCGAGTGTGACATCACTCATAGCGTTCAGCGCCACTCAAATGAAGTTCGCGATGCTAAAGTTATAGGAGCAAATTTGGAGACAGGCTCTATATAATGAATAGGATTTTTTTGACAGAAAATTAGTGAAAACCCCACCAGGATCTTGTGAAGCGGGTTAATACGAACATTTTAAGACCAAAATTTCGAGGCTCACAGTCACAGCAAGTTACAGAGAGAAGGGTGACAGTATTCCAATGGGAGCCAGAGTCATTAGGAACCAGAAGCTCCCGCATGCATACTTCCTGTTTTAAATGCGGCTTACTAGCGCTTTGTTCATTTATATATACAGTCTATGGTTTATACACTTAAAAACTGCACAGGAGTAATCCGGATTTTTATCTGTGACGCAACAATCTGGGCAAAGTGTGAACACCTTAATAATTGGAACAGATTAGCAAATTTCGTGTCCAAAAAGACTGAACTGGTTTCCTGGTTTTTAATTGTTAGCTGTTGAAAAATGCCTATTTTTAGTCATATCACATGACTTGAGTTATACAGTCAGATCTTTTTGTATATAATTGCGAGTAGAGCTGTGGGGGCAGAGAGCATTCAGTTACTCAAACATGCATGAATCAAACAAAATACAACTCTGGGTAAACTAATGTATAGAAAACACCATTATATCACGGTTAAAAGCTCATAAAGGTTGATTTTTCATAAGCTTGAGTGTGGGTATAAAAATTGGAACGTTGGACACCCACAGTTAGGGAGCTATAGCCCACATACTAGCGAGATTGTTCCTGACAGGTGACATGTATTCTCCTAGCTGTTAGGTTTAAATGGTGAAATCGTGAGCTCAACTTATACATAATAGATGGTGAGATGACAATGTTGTCTTGTGCAAACTTACCAAATTTGTTCTGACAGGAGAGAAACCTCGACTCCTAGAAATCAAATACTGTAATTTCTGTCACTTCCTGAGTTCAGTGGGGACTTGCAAGTCATGACTTGGATTCGAGTCAGACTTGAGTCACTATTTTTAAGACTTGAGACTTAACTTGATAAAGTGGATGAAGACTTGGGACTCGACTTGGACTTGAAGGTCAGTGACTTGGGGCTTGACTCGGACTTGAGGCCTGTGACTTGTCCTAAAAATATATGTTTTTATAAATACTTTTCTCTTTACAGTTGATAAATGGGGCGCTGAATTTTACAGGAACAAACTGTCCCTCCACTTCTGTTTGGTACTTTGGATGGAACTAAAGTACTTTGATGTGGTATCCTCAAATGTACTTCAGTAATATACAATACAACACAATACAATACAGTAATATATAGTACAACTCAGTACAATACAGTAAAATAGGGAACTACAGAGAACATGAACATGATCCCTCCAAACTGCATGACAAAATAAATGCACTTTTAAATCTGAATTCTTTCTGTT